TCTATTCAAATACTATAATAAAGCTAGAATGATGTATAAAAGAAATTAAGCAAGCAAAAAAAAAAAAAAAGAAAGAAAGAAAGAAAACAAAGAGAAAAAAGGCAGAAACTTATTTGTTCTCCCCATAGAAGAATTTTTAATCCATATTTGTGCTGCAGTGAAGTAAAATTTTGTGTCTGTGGATCTGAAAGAACAATTAAAGTAACTGCACCTTTTGAATGATTAAATCTAGATTTCAAGGGTTCTTGGCTTACAGTTCCAGGAACTAGTTTCTTCTTACTATTGTGGACGAGTGTTCAAGATCCTCTTTACAATACCCTGATCTGATGCATCATCTGCTATTATTATTTCTCATCTGCCAAATATTTTCTCAATTTTGGGAATGCAGCCTATGTACATTTTTATAGAGGATCTTCATTTATATCTTGTGAATTAAAATCCTCCTTAACTTCACTTAATATAGCAACAAATCACACAACTGCATATAATCTAGTAGAACAGAATAATGGAATTGTATGGAAAACATTCAGTTGCCCATAAAATCAAAGAAAATGCTATCAAACATTATGAAGAAGTTCTGCAATCTATTTGCTTCCGATCTAGTCATTATGTACAGCAACAAATGCCACATCAAATGAGCGTATGTTCATCGATGCTAGGAGTTCTTATAATGGAGACTATTTACCTGTGTGGTCAACACAACTCGGAATATTATTAATAAAGAACCATACAAGAACTAATATATATGAACCTATTATGCAGGAAGTAGAGCTAATTAAGTCTAATGTATATTAAGCTTATGTTAAACTTCCAGATTGGTCATGAAACCATTTTTTAAGTACACCATTTGGCACATACATGAGATACTTCTGTACATACATTTGATATAGGATATAAGAAAACCAGCAACTTTCAGATTCTGTTGCTCAACAGAATAAAGATTTGGCCACTGAAGCTCCTGAGCCCATATCAAAAACGGTAAGAAAATCAACTGAAGAGGATTCCCACGGTAGTGATTTACCATCCCCTAGCAGACCTGAGTCTTTTGAAAAGATATCAAATGATTACTTGCTTAATCTTGAGGAGGTGGGAATGCGGTATTATTATTTATTAATTACTGGCAGCACCTAAGTTATATTACATGAAATGGCAACAGTTAATCTTTGTTTAAATGATGGTCTCACAATTTAACATTTAGGGTTCTGTTTTATGTGCAGCTTTAGTTGATTAATACTTTTTTGAGCTTCTTAAAAGAAATGATTTACTACATTTACACCAAGTGTTATGATTTTGAGTTGTCTTCCCCCCCCCCAAATTTGGGTATGAATTTTTTTTTTTCATTCGAGTAACAAACTTGCCAACTTCTCAAGTTTATGTTGGATGCTTCCGATTTTCGACTGGATTCCTGCCAACCTGATTTATGATATATTTCTCCTGACTTTCTTATATTCCTAAAATTTCTCATGATTTTTATTAATGTGGCATAATATTTCATTATTTTCATCCAAAAATTAAATTTCTAGTGTCTGAAGTCATTTGCTATATCTTTTCATTACCTATTTTTTTTTTAAAAAAGCATTGAAAAGATCATTATCCAGTTCTCCAATGGTTATTAAGCACAGTTAACAGATCATGTGGCACACATCAGCCATTGAGCATAAAGCAAGAATGAAACAGTACCTTGTATTTATGGAATCAGTTCTTCTTGAAGTTGTTTTAGTTTTTGCTATCTATTATCTTAGTTATATGTGCAGAAAAAGTAAAGTACTTTTTATATATTAAAAAACATATACAGATGTGTTAATCCTCATTTACATTAAAAAATGTAAACGGATGACTTCATTTGTTATTTCATCAAGAAAATGTAATACCTTTGTAATCACAGTTTTTGGTTTCCATGATGCAAGTTTCCTAATGTACTAAAACATGTGTACAGAAAACCACAAAGACAGTTTAAATTAGCTTGGAAAAAAAAAGGAGGGGAAGATTTTTTTTTTTTTTTTTTTTTTTTTCACCTTTTTGCTGGAGCGCAATCTACCAATGGATGACTCATCACAGTGCAGTTTTATTTACAAAAATGTTTCGTGATAGCAAAATCACTAAGAAATATTGGTACTTCTTTGTTACAGTGCCCATGAGATTGAATTAAAAATCCGAAATATCTCGCCAAAATCTGGTTGTGTGTTCTTATAGATTGCCATGAAATGATTTACTGTAATTGTATATTAGCATTGGCTGTGTGTTCTTATACCTCGCCGTGCAATTGTATATAATGCTGCATTTTTGCTGTCACTGCATGTTCTTATGTTATTCATTTTTGATGAGGTTTTCGAATTTGCATTGTTTATTAAAAAATAATTTTTAAATATTTTTCAATCTTGAATTTACCAAATGAGGTAGATACCATATCATTTTTTCAAGAAAGAGGTCTTTTATCTTTATTTTATATGCGAAAATGGCCACAACATGAATCTTTATGTTAAGGACAAAACCATTTGGAGGAGCAATAGTAACCCCTTCAGGATGGATGTATTATATATGCATCAGCAGTTAATCCTCTTATGAGACAGCATATGTCTTAGTGCAACTCAGCTTGGAGACGTTGTGTTGTTGCAGTAGTACAGTCTTTTAAGATGGGACATTCCGCATCGCTAAGCCTAACTTTAAAAAAAAATTCATTAAAAACATTTTTTTAATCAATTGTTTTGATTTTTTCTGCAATGTTATAACTACTATAATTATAAACACTGAATATCAAGAAATTCTGAAAAAAAATGCAATTAAAATCTAAATGCAAAATAAAATATTTGACTCATCTTGATGAAATGTTGTAAAATACTTAATCTCTATCTTAACATATGTAAAAATAATAAAACATATGATCAAATATTATAAATCAGTGTTTTCCAGCCTGTGGTACACAAGTTGCTGGTGGGTGGTGCACAAAAAATAATCAGTAACGGCGGACATAAAAAATAAAAAGAAGAGTATTCAATCAAAAAATATCATAGAAATGGTTTTTCCTATAACTCATTAAAAATAATTTAATTAATAATATACAGTAAAGCTGTTGATATGTACAGTCGATAATCGAAAATCCGGCAATTATTATTATTATTATTTTGGAGTGCACTTAGTCATTAGTAACTTGAGATATCGCCGCCACTATTGTGTTAACTTCACCATGCGGCTCACAGGTTATTGTTTGTGATGGTATCGTCTTTGTGTATTAAAATTCATTGATCCCCATACTGATTAACTTTTTTTTTTTCTATGGATCAGTGGTTAAGGAGTGTACATGCCAAAATCGCAAGCGAAAACACGAACAGTGATGTATTGCCGAGTTCTACAAATGACAGGTCTGAAAATTCGGTGCAAAACATTGAAATCACTCAGTCCTCAGTTCTTCAAAGGGACGTTAAGCAAAAATATTGTGAGAAATATATAAAATATGGATTTTCGTATATCGGAGATGAAGACTGTTCTAAGTCCAAGTGTGTAGTGTGTAAAGGTAGTGCTTTCAAATGGATGCATGAAGCCTTTGTTTCTTTCGCAATATCTGCATGCAAAACATGTGGATTACAAGAACAAAGATTGTGATTTTTTTTAAACGTTTAAAAAGCAAAAGAACATGTCTATTTTATCATCTTAAATTCTACCTGCTAATAAGGATAATGAACATGCAGTAGATGTTAGTTATCGTACTAGTTACCATATTGTTAAATGTGGTTATAGTCATCAAATTGGTCAATGTCAGGTTTATGTATTGGTCTTCATGGACACATCTTAACCCTTTCTGGCACACTGCGTTTTAAAGTTGGAGTGTTGATTAAAAAAAAAAAGTTAGGCAGTCTAGTTAGGCCTAGAGGAGTACACAAGTAAAATTTTGTGAAGATAGCACTTATTGTTTAATTCTGTGGGTATGCCCAAAGTGGTCACACTGATTGAATAGAGCTTCAAAAAGAGTGCTGAAACGAGCATTGTTGTCAATGAACTGACCAATGAGATGCGGAGAAACAAGGAATACAGACTCTTAGTTGTCCTAGATTATCGGTGAGCCTGGTCTGGGCACACCTAGGGTTCGCCATTTGATTTTGGGCAAGATTTCAAGGTAAAAATTTAAAACTAATATAGAATAAGGAGATTAGCATACAGCCAAAAAAAAATAACAGAAATCTCTTTTCAAACAATTCCTTTTATACCCTAAAAAAAAATCTGGAAGATTTCTTTGAAAAATGTCTTAAAAAACTAAACATGGCTAAAATATATGGACTGGTTTGTGTTGAGCTGCCATCTACTACTATAAATAAAGAAGGTTCAGAGTAACCTATAGTAACGTATAAATCCTTTTTCATTCAATTTTTCTGTGCGTACAGAAGGAAATTTTTAGGTGTGTCCGGATCGGACACACTGTGCCGCAAAGGGTTAAGTGTAGCTCCTAATATAATTTGGAGCTATTGCTGTGTCCATAGGCAAAATCTTGAAACAAAGCACCATCCCAAAGAATTGAAACTCATTCTCAATAATGTGGTAAAGATTGTTAATTTTATAAAGAAAAGCTCCACAAACTCAAGGATTTTTACAGAAGTTTAAGAAATTGGGCTGCTAAGCTATAGCTTGTGTAGCTTATATGTAAATCCTGCACTAGTTCTACCTTGCAGAATGACTTTGCTAGAGGCAAAGTCCTACTTTCATCTGGGCTCATCTTATATTGTTTGTATTCAAAGGTCATTCAAAATGTAATTTATTTGCAGTATAAGTTGTGGAAAGTTCTTTTTTATTTCCCATTTTATATATGGCTATGTCGAAAAGAGAGGGGAATTATTATTTTTACTTATAAATTTTTCATTTTGCATTTCTGATTCATTTTTCTGTCTTATTTTGCATTTGATTAAAGCAGTATCATTGTTATGTATGAGGTATTTAAATTTTATTAAACTATATCAGTATTTGTGTTTTTAATTATAAAATTTATTTATTTTCATACTTTCAATTTCTAGTCAGATTTATGTTATTTGAATGGAATGAATGATCAGCAGTTGGTGGAATGTAAAGAAGATATAAATGTAGGTATATACACAGATTTTTTGCAAAACCTTCATTTCCACAAGGAAATTTAATACTTCTGCAATTTTATTGTTGCTTGGTATTCAGCTATTCAAATTAATACTTTTGCAATTAAATAATGAATTGAAATTCATTGCATGTAATATATTGATTATAGTAACTAACTTGCTATTCTTTGATATATTGATTATAAATGAGAGCTGAAACATAGGCACAGTGGTTCTTCCAGTTTAGATCATTATTTAATAGTGGGAGATTTCTATTTGGATATCATTTCAAGGGAAAAAACCAAACTAAGGTAATGTTTCCTGAAGCATTCCCTTTTCATCATTATAACAGTAGATCTTCTCTTGATAGATACCTCATCAGACCACAATCTTTGAAGGTAACTACTATTTCTAGAAGATGAATAAACATCAGTATAGATAATAATAATGGTTGTTTTCTAAGACAACCATTTCCTAATCTAACTAGAGCATTCAAATATATACAGTACAAAGTCTGGAATCTGGACGTCCATTATCCTGAATGATCTATAATCTGGGCCTCAAAGCCAAAAAAATTTTCATATTTTTAATTTTTTAATTTCTGCATGCCATCTTACCAGATTTAAATTGATGATCTATAATCTGGAAAACCAATAATCCGGAGTCGCTGTAGTTCCGACGAGTCCGGATTAAAGACTTTTGACTGTACTTATAACGGCTAATCAATAAATGCTCTTTTCTACTTTCGTATTTGATTTTGTATTTATTATTTGATTTGTTTTATGTTATTTACTGAAATTATTGTTTTAGTATTGTATCGATTTCCATAGTTATAATTATGGCTTCCTATCCAGAGATTGTACTGCCTGAGACATGCTGTTCTTGTGAGCGAGCAATGTTGCGAATTTTGTGTGTAAATAAATGATTTTAGTGCAGTTATATATGAAATTATTGTATTTTTCTGTATATGTAACACGAAAATCTGGAGAGAGGATGCTGTGCCAGAAAAATAATAGTTCAGGGGCAAGTCTATTTAACATTGAGTAAATGGCTATCTCACTAATTTGTGATGATATAGCCAAGCTGGCTCTGGCTTTGGTGGCTAATTTTTGTCCCCAAACTTGCCAATATTTTGGTTTCGTCTCATGTAGCTGTAATGGATATTGTAATTGAGTAGTTTTAATTAATGCTGTGTGTAACTGTAACTGGATTGGGCTCTCATATGGCTTCCAGTAATTTCTAAAAGCAGGAAGTACTAAAAATATCTCGGTGGCCACGTGAAAACTACATAAGACCAGAGAAAGCATCAGCTTATGAGTTGTTAGTTCAGCATCAGTTCATAGTACTGAGATATCTTCAGGTTAACTCTGCTCTTTTAGATGTCTGCTCTTTTAGATGTTCTTTGCATTGAATTATGTTTAATGTTCTTACTAGTTTAAAGTGTAAGTACTGATTGTACTTTGTAACACTGCGAGCACCTGTACGAGTATTTCTGTGGAAAGTTGTAGAACTCTGAAAAGTTATTGATAAAATAAATTTTATCAACCTATCATCGGACTTGATTGATAAAATAAATTTTATCAACCTATTGTCAACTTATCATCGAATCTATTATGAACCTGTATGCACGCAACATTAGGAATTCTTTTAAATACATAATTTATTTCTAAAAAGTTTTTTTTTTTATTTGTAGCATAAAATTTCAGATTATTGAGAGTACATTTTAAATGTATTAAAATGTTTTTTGCTCTGTTACCTGACATTGTCTAATCCATCAAAATTTATTTGCTATATTTCTTGTGTACTTTCCTATACTGTTATTCTGTTCTTTTCTTTATATCGTTTTATTTTTTATCATTTCTTTAAAGCTATACTTTTTTTTCTGTCTTGTTGCTTAATTCTTTCTTTTGCTATCAGACTTTTTAAAATGCTTAATAAAATAGATTTCTTTTATTTAATCAACCTGTAAAGTTTACAATTTATTTTGTTTATCTATATAGTGTTCTGATGTGGTGCTAATATTTGCTAAGGCAAAGTAAAATTCTTTCTTAGTGATAAAATTTACACTTGTTTACATGCTAGGATGGAAATGTCTCAGCCATTATAGTTATTTATTTAATTTATCCATTAGTAATTAATTATCAGTTGCTTAAATGTACAAAAATTTATACTGCATTTTAATTAGCAAGCATTTTATAAATTTATTAAATTTAAAATAAGAAATTTTAAAAATATAATGATACTTGGAATGTTTTGCTTAATAATTTCATTTATTTTTTGTTAAATGATATTTACTAATATTCCAGTTTTTAACAATATTTATTCAGACTTTTGCATCTTTTGCAAACTGTGAAGTTCTAGCTGCATTGTTTTATTTTACAGTGCAGCTATAATTATAGGTAGTGAAAGGTAACTTCAGAATGCTTTATGTTTGCCTGTGATCTTCAGCAAATGTTTTCTCATTTCTCTTTTCTTTTGACTGCAAGTACTTTCGCTATCATAAGGGCTTTAAATCATATTTGTTAGGTATCAAATGTATGAGTAATTAAATTATATTACCTATAAAGTTTTATTTCATTTTGCATATATATACACGGGCTGACCCCCAAATAACTGGAATTTCCTGATAAAAAACTTAATTTTTTTTAATTACAACTTTAATCACCTTCAAAGTACTCTCCATTTGCACCTTGCAAATTCAACCTCTTTGAAACCTGCTGGTACTATCATGACATTGCATTTCACTTCGTAAACATCAGCAAAACGCTTGCCTTTTAAGTCCCTTTTCATCTGACCAAACAGAAAGATGTCTTTTGAGCCAAGTCTGGTGTATAGGGCACGTTGGTCAATGTAGTTGTCTTTTGAGACCAAAAATGAGTGAATACTGAAACCCGTGTGTGTGTGGGAGTGTTGTCACGATACAAGAACCACTCATCAGTATTTCACAATGCTGGATGCTTTTGTGCCACACTTTTGCACAGCCATTTCAATATTCCCAAATAGAATTGTTGGTTGATGGTATCTTCTTCAAATTCAATTTAACCTGAGAAGCTTTTATTGGATGAGGTGAGAAAGGTGACCTCCATTGACTTAACTGTTGTAATCAAAATCATAAAAAACAACCTTATATTTAGCGTAAGTATAATGAAACACTCAATCGATTTCGAAGGCAGCTAAAGGTCCCTCCTCATCAGGAGAAAGAAATACATAGAAAGAAGAAAATAGGAATCACAGAAACACGTGGTGCTTATCAGCACTGCACGTGGTTATAACTAGATTTTTAATCAGAGTTGCACTGGCCGCCTACTTTTACTGAGCCAGGCTGTCTGATCAAGCATAAAGAAATATTAGCGAAGTTAAAATATAGGGAGCGAGGGGCAAATGCACATTACGCTCAAAATCTGAACTTCAAATAATGGAAAGCAACCACTGAACGGATTTTTTTATACCCTCTGGTAGTACCAAGTGCGAGGAGGTAACGCCATCTATCGGCAAAAATAATTGAATTAAGACAGTAGAATTTTAAAGGCATTAGGAAGGACTGGATTGGACTTAAATCATTAACTAAACTTTCTAAATCTTGTGAATGTGAAAAGCCTCAAGAAAATCCAATTCGCCTATGAAAGAAGCCTTTTGGATGATTTTTGCAGACCCAAAATCAAAATTATGGTTAAAAGTCCAGCTATGATACGCTATTGAAGACTTGTTAATTTCCCCTTTTTTGACATAAGATTCATGTTCCTTGATACGAAAACTTCAACGCTCTTTTTGTTTGGCCAATATATCTTAAAACCACACTGACATGATATACTATAAATTCCCCAGAATTCAAGACAGAAACGCAATCTTTTAGAATCGAAGGGTGAATTTTATTAATAGGGGAGAAAACCGACTTGAAAATTGAATTTCTGGAGAATCCGTGCAATTTTTATAGCTAACAGAAGGATAAAATGGAAGCACGACAAGGTCAATGATATTATTTCTAACAGTAGAATGTCTTCTTTGATGGGAATCAGAAAATTTTTTGACGGCTTTATCAATAATCACGGGAGAAAATCCACGGTCAATCGCAACTGCTCTCAAATAATTAAGTTCATTGGTAAGCAAAGATTCAGAGGAACAAACTTTTAGCGCGTGGAAAACATAATAAAACATAATAGTAAAAGGAAGCCATTTTTTTCTTAACAGGGTGGCATGACTTGGCATGGGGTGGTAAACAAACTGCAAAGGGTTTACGGTACACAGTGGTGCTAAAATCGGTTTCATTGCGGATTATAAGAATATCGAGGAAGGGGAGGGGAATTGTTGGATTCAATTTCAAGAGTGAATTGGATGGCTGGATCAATTGATTCATAATAGATAGAATCGGATAAATCCTCTTTATAACCGTCAAAAAAAGGCGAAAGTGTCGTCAACATACCGAATCCAAAGACGAAAAGATAATTTATCAAATAATTTCATCTCAAATAGTGCATATAAATGTCAGCAAGTACCGGACTGAGGGATTACCCATGGCCAATCCTTCAACTTGATGGGTATCCTCTCATTATGGGTAATCCTCTCAGTCCGGTACTTGCTGACATTTATATGCACTATTTTGAAAATGAAATTATTTGATAAATTATCTTTTCGTCTTTGTATTCGGTATGTTGACGACACTTTCGCACTTTTTGACAGTTATAAAGAGGATTTATCCGAGATTCTATCTATTATGAATTCAATTGATCCAGCCATCCAATTCACTCTTGAAATTGAATCCAACAATTCCCTCCCCTACCTCGATATTCTTATAATCCGCAATGAAACCGATTTTTAGCACCACTGTACCGTAAACCCTTTGCAGTTTGTTTACCACCCCATGCCAAGTCCATGCCACCCGGTTAAGCAAAAAATGGCTTCTTTTACTATTATGTTTTCCGCGCGCTAAAAGTTTTGTTCCTCTGAATCTTTGCTTACCAATGAACTTAATTATTTGAGAGCAGTTGCGATTGACCGTGGATTTTCTCCCGTGA